CCGCGGGGGGGGGGGGGGGGGGGGGGGGGGGGGGGGGGGGGGGGGGGGGGGGGGGGGGGGGGGGCGGGGACGTGACGGGGATCCTGACCCCTAATCTGGGAAGAAAGTTGCACAAGAAACAGGACAAATACGGAAAGAACCTCAGAGAACATCTCCGGGTGTCTTTTGTTTTGCATTTAAACAGGGACATCTAATTCTCGGGCTGGAGTTTAGCCGATTAGGTTGCAGGGCCTTGAATGTTCAAAGAACAATGGCTGCCAGCCCCGCCCATCTCATGGATTCCAGGCCCTGGGCAGCCTCCCAAAGCCACACCTGGAGATTCTGAAGTTCCTCGGGTTGTTCGTGGTCTGGAGGGCCGCGCCACACGCTCGTTGCCCCCTAACTGCCTCTTAGTCACTTGCTCTGTAGAGACAAAGAGCACAATATTAAAAGAGCCAGAAGAAAAAGCGAAACTCCTCGCTAAGCCCAGGAGGCCTGACCCAGTGGCTCCTGAGACCTTCGGCAAACAATTAAAGCCCTGTGGTTCCTCACCCCAAAGGGCCAAAGGGCCAGCAAGTGCCATAAAATTTACTACCTGTCTCGAAAAACCAAAAAAAAAAAAAAAAAAAAAAAAAAAAAAAAAGATCATGAGCTCTCTCTTGAGCCCTTTTCGAATATCCCACACAAAGGGTGCAGGAATCTTGCCAGCTAACTCCTCCCTCTCTCTTAGATTTATTTATTTTATATAATATAGCTGAGTGTTTGGCCTACATGTACGTATGTGTACCGCATGCATGTGCAGTGTGCAGACCACAAGGAGGAGTCATCCCTGGAGCTGGAGTTAGGGATGGTTCTGACTCACCTTGCTCTCTGCAAGAGCAAGTGCTTTGAGATGCGGAGCCATCCCCTCCCCCAACTTGTCTTAACTGCTACCAAAGGACTTCATTACTTCAGGAAGGCTCTCTCCAGGTTTCCACAGTGCCTATTTTTTTTTCTAAAAATGTATTTATTTGTTATGTACACAGTGTTCTGCTTGCATGTATGTCTGCATGCCAGATCTCATTATAGATGGTTGTGAACCACCATGTGGTTGCTGAGAATTGAACTCAGGATCTCAGAAAGAGCAGCCAGTGCTCTCAACCTCTGAGTCATCCTTCCGACCCCAGTGTCTAGTTTACTCTTTATTTTTAATTAATTAATTGATTTTTATTTATTTTATTTTTTTGAGACAGGGTTCTCTGTGTGACAGCTGAGAGGCTCTATAGACCAGGCTGGCCTTGACCTTACGGAGATCCTCCTGCCTCTGCCTCCAGAGTGCTGGGATTAAAGGCGTGCGCCACCATCTCCCGGCCCCGGTCCCTATTCTTTATTAAAACTTTTACATCAGTCTGGTCTGGTAAACTCTTCCCTTGTACCTCATACGCATCGGTCTCAGCAGGACATACTCCACTGAGGAGGGATCGGGACAAAGCGTTCTGATGGTTCTTGCTGAATGACTTGAATGTTCCTTCTGCTCATCTAGACAGTTAACTGCTTCTAGTGGGTCAACAGGCAGACCCTGGCATCTGACATGAGCCGTGGAGGAAAGACAGTTCATATTTTTGGGACATTAGATGTCTGTGGGGCAACACAGAGCGCATTCTGGGTAGAGTAGTACAATGTTTGGCTCTTGAATTATTTGTTAATGTTTGTGTATGTGTGCGTGTGTGGCATGCACACATGTGTGCCACAGCATGACTGTGGAATGCCAAAGGAAGATTGTGGAGTCAGGCCTCCTTCTACCTTTTTGTGGCTTTAGGGAACTGAACTCAGTTTTCAGGCTTTTGCGGCATTTTACTTGTTGAGCCATTTTACTGCCCCAGTGCAGGGACTATTGACGCCCACAAAGGACTCAAGGAGTCCCTAAACCCCCATTTTACACATGTGTAAAGTTACGGTTTCTCCTGCAGTAAAGAGACACCATGACCACGTGTGGGGCAATATTAGATAGGCCATTTTCTTTCTTTCCTTCTTTCTTTCTTTCTTTCTTTCTTTCTTTCTTTCTTTCTTTTTTTTTTTTTTTTTTTTCCACATATTTCTGCGTTGTATGGCAGCCAGGCTCTCGAGCCACAGCTGCACCTGAGGTGGTCACAGCACTCACAGACTGGCTGTGGCCTGGGTCGGGGTATGCTGATGTTGTTCTGCTCTTCTTGGTAATTCTGGAGATCATCTGGGAGGCGGTTAATCCAAGCTAGTGACAGAGCAGCCATAGTTGCAGATGTGACTTTTAGTCCTGCTACCCCGGACACAGAATGCTAATGAACTCACCCCTCAGTTTACCTTTGGAGATAACAGCTGTTTTGAGAATAAACACGGGGATCTTCAGGATTTGAATGGACCCTGAGACTCCCTTCCGATATGGCTGTGTGAACTGTGTCTCAGTTATTCCCATGCCTCCACGCGGGTGCAGAGAAACAATTTATGTTGGGGTTGGACCCCAACACCACGGCAACACTTATAAAGGAAAACACTTCAGTGAGGCTGGCTTACAGTTCAGAGGTTCAGTCCATCGTCACGGCAACCCCAACACCACGGCAACACTTATAAAGGAAAACACTTCATTGAGGCTGGCTTACAGTTCAGAGGTTCAGTCCATCATCACGGCAGGTGCTGAGAAGGACCTGAGAGTCCTGTATCTCAATCCGTAGGCAGCAGGAAGTGAACTGAGTGTAGCTTGAGCAATGGAGACATCAAAGCCCACCTCCACAGTGACACACTTCCTCCAACAAAGCCACGCCTCTAATACCACTCCCTATGAGTTTGTGGGGATCAATTACATTCCTACTATCACAACATGCAATTTTACAATATTTGCATATATTTATTTCTCAGAGGAGTATCTATACTTTGCACCAGTTTGTAAAGTTCCAGAACCTCTATACTGTGAACAGTGCCTCCCCAATTCCTAAATCTACTCTCTTTTGTTGTTGTTTTTTTTTTTGAGAAAGGGTTTTTCTGTGTAGCCCTGGCTGTCCTGGAATTCACTCTGTAGACCAGGCTGGCCTTGAACTCACAGAGCTCCTCCTGCCTCCTGAGTGCTGGGATTAAAGACGTGGGCTGCCACTGCTGGAAGTCCACTCTCTCTTTACATAGCCATGTTGTTAGGGGAGAAGACCCACATGTACTCATCTGCTCCTGGAGGGTCCCCGTGTGGCAGAAACAATCAACACATTACATTCCTCTGTGTAAGGACAGATGCTGCTTGAGACTCCTAAAACTCTTGTTCATGGTAACGAAGAGGTCTTTTCTCTCTCTTTTAGCCATTGATGCCTAAGGGAGCAGGCTGGGGAAGAGATAGGACAGGATAGAGGGCAGAACACAGGGCACCACAGATGGGGAAACTAGCCCTAGACCAACGCAACTCCTTGGAGAAAGCTCTAATATTATTTAAGGTACTGGAGGATTAAAATAGTAGAGTCTACTTTAAAAGCCTGAAGGTGTCTGTCATGTCTATTATTCCAAGTATAAAGACATGCTGGGCTGGAGATGTGGTTCAGTGGTAGAGAACTTGCTAAAATGTGTGAGACCCAGGGTTTGAGTCCCCAACAGCAGTGGTTTGAATGAGAGCATGCACTGGAACACTTGTGACGCTGTTGTGCAAACTTGTGGAACCTTTAGGAAGTAGAGCTTTGCTGGAGGAAGTATGTCACTAGGGGTGGCTTTGAGAGTTCATAGCTTCACCCCACTTCCATTTCACTCTGCTTCCTCATGGTGGTTGAAGATGTGATCTCTCAACTCCTTGCTCTAGCACCTGCTTTATGCTGTTTCTGCCATTATGGATGGACTCTAACCCTCTGGAATTGTAATCAAAATAAAATTTCTTCCTTAAGTTGCTTCTGGTTATGGTATTTTATCACAATAATAAAAAAGTAACTAATATATCTGCATTGGGAAAACCAAGGCAATCAACCAATAAAACCAACCAACTCACCAACCAATCAACTAACTAACCAATTAGACAACCAATCAATCAATAACCTAACTAGCCAACCAATCAACCAACCAACCAAGCAAATAACTAATCAACAAATCAACTAACTGATGTGGGAGTGTCATATATCAATCTGTTGATTTCATTGGTTAAGTAATAAACCAACTGCTTGGCCTCATAGCTTAGAACATAGGTGGGTGGAATAAACAGAATAGGATGCTGGGCGGAAGAGGAAGTGAGGTCAGACTCTGCGCTGCTTCCAGAGGGACCGGTCAGCCACCATGCTCTGCTCTCCCAGGCAGCTGCAACCCACGATGGACTTAGGCTAGAATCTTCCCGGTAAGCGCACCTTGGGGTGCTTACACACATCATTAGAAATGGGTTAGTCCAGGTGCGAGAATCAGCCTGTAAGGGCTAGAGTTCATGGGCCAAGCAGTTCTTAAATGAATACAGTTTGTGTGTTGTTATTTCGGGCATGAGCTAGCCAAGCGGCCGGGGTGTTGGGGACGCAGCCCCGCCGCCGCTCCTATTTCAACAACTAACTAACCAATTGTCCAACTAACCACCCAATCACCTAACCAGCCAGCCAGTCAACCAATCAACCAATCAACTAAGCGACCAGCCAGCCCACCCAATCAATCAATCAACTAACTAACTGGTCAAGTAACCAACCAATCTACCAATTATTTAATCAGTCACGCAACCATTAAACCAAACACACACAAAAAATTTGGAAATAGCTTTGCTTAAGAATTTCCAATTATAGCCGGGCGATGGCGGCACACGCCTTTAATTTCAGCACTCGGGAGGCAGAGGCAGGCGGATCTCTGTGAGTTCGAGATCAGCCTGGTCTACAGAGCT